AGACTGACGCTGTGGCAGCTCCCTGCACCCGATTGCGCCTACGGCCTTCTTGACCTTGTTTTAATACCGGACTCGGACAGGTGAGGGAGGAAAGAGTGCGATAGAGGCACCACAAGTCCACTAATACTTAAAACCAATTCACACCTAAGTCACAGTCCCGGTTCATCTTGTTGTCAGCCTTGACTTCGATGATCATTTGGCTGATGGTAGCAAATAACTCAGAAATAGTTATTCCGATTGTTTCATCGCCTTTGGATATTGGTCTTTTTTGAGTGCTCCCCTGCCATGACTACTATATATAGGCAGATTATTGTAACCTAAATTGTCTGTATTGTGACCTTGGTCGGTTTGCAGTCGTCCCTTGAACGCGGACAAATATTTGTTTTCCCTTGGTTGGTTAACATTTCGACTCCTAGTGTCCATCTCCATCATTTTTATTGTTTTTCGCTTCAGAAACTCTTAGATGACCCGCTTTATTTCGGAATTCGTCAGCAACGTGTAACGGGTGATGCCTACGATAATTTCATCGCCGAATTCCTGCGATCCTGCGCTGCAGTGTGAGCAACTATATGTGATGCCAGTTTCAGGTTTTGGATTATTTAAAGCATTCATATTCATTCATTTCTCATTAACTTTCCCTCCCGGTTTACAAATCTGCACCATTCGGTTCGATGCCCCTTGGGTACCACCTAAACTCTTTCTAACCATGGCGCCAACATTAATAGTTCATAGTTCTGGATTCCCTGCTTAACCCTGATAAAAATAAATACATTGCACCACATTTGATTATCTTCCAACTAACACGTGCCCAAAGCCGAATCAAACTCTAATTGCATTGACTTTTTCATCCTTATTTTTTTCTTCTGGAATTCTGATTACATATATGTCTATTTTGTGCGAATGGTTTTATTAACACACCCAGTACAGCTACTATTTAGAAGGTGTGAGTTTTGCTTTATTTATCCTCCGCTGCTGCGTGTTACAACCGCGAGGACTTTGGTACATTAATAGGCCGCTCAGCGTTGTCCGTGTACTTTGCAGCGTGGCGGCATTATATGTTTAACTCTTAATTACTATGTGATGTAGTAAACAACCTTGAAGGGAGGTTTTCGGTCCCACCGGCCTAGCCACTTCCTCATTTAATGTGATCATTAACCAGTGCGGCCTGTAGCCTGCCATTGTCGGCCAAACACCATTCCCGAACGCCTAAGACGTTCTGTCCAATTGGCCCCTAGGCCAAATGAGACCACACCTGTTTGCATGTTCGGAAGTTTGTCGCAGCGGCCTTACCTACAGTGTGAAAAGAGGCCTTGGGCTCGTCGGTTTTTTCAATTTCACCTAACCTGTTGTGTTTGGTAACATTAAATACGAAGGCGTGTTCACGTTTACATTCGAAGTACTAGTCTTTTTCACGCTAAATACCTCTGACTAGGCCACATTTTCAATTTTCGCACATTCTCGCTAGGTGCAGTCTTTTTTTCGATATATATACTTACCGCTAAGGCTGAGAATGCAATTGCTTCATGCCTGGCCAATCGTTGGTTATTAAGCGTTTTCTGTGTACCTTCTAAACCTTGATGGTCATATGTGATGTCCTGGAGAGAAAGCCGAACCAGTATTAGGACTAGGCACAATAATCTGTTAGACCAGAGGTTCATGGTACGCACACCCCGAAGAACGATCCCCAAAACGGGGCAGGAGAGACTGCAAATTCCCCGAATGCATCTGTCGTAGACGCCACCGATTCTGGGCAGACGTGTCAATGGCTTAGGATCTCCGACTTCCATTAACGACAGGTTACAGTCGTGCACTCCCGCATATGGTACAGTAAATGATGTACGTTATATGAACTCTTCTAGATTCAGGAAACTTTTGAGTTCTAATAATTTTTGAAACCTCATCCATTCCGCTGTAAAATTAAGCCTTATTTTGGCCAGGGGTCAAGCTAGATCAACCGACACCCTAGTCTCCGACATACTTTTTATATATTAGCTAGGAGAAGGTACAGATGGCGTCCCCTCCAGCCAATGGGTGAGGTACTTATCGTAAAACGCCGACAGCATGCTGAAGTACCGTTTTGGGTTTTAATAGCTTTAGGGTCATCCGCAGTGAATCTTGTGTATCTGTCCAGTACCTGTTGACATTCTGTTTAACCCACATCTAGGCTACTAAACGGTAAATTTTTCTGCTGCTACAACACTCCTGTAACACTCAACGCGGAAATATGTTTTCTTCCTGAGTTGTGGCATTTTACGCCATACTTTACTGTTTCTCATGGGAGAACAGTGAGAACGCGCCAACTGAAATTTCATTAGTCCGATGATTACTACTCGTTCTCCTGGTTTTTAATTCCTGGTTTCAAACTTTCCAGCTAACTGTGTAAATAGTTTTCGAGCTTTCTTCTGCTTCAGCTGGTGGTCATTTGATCATACACTAAAGATATAATACCGCAACCGATTGAGTCATCTTGCCCTTTTGATTTTGTCAAAATTTGTACTCTTCGCGATTCACATTTCTCTACACTGCAGACGCATGTTCACCTCCTTTGCGCCTCCTCCCCCCCCCCGTAATTTCCCCTTTTCGATCCCTGAGGCTGGAATGCTGCGGTAGCTTGGCTGGATACTCACGGTCTGTAAAAGCTATCCAGTTTATTGATACCATACAGATAATATACGTCTTCATTTGTAGTTAGAAAACTACGGCCAGTGGGACAGCCCGTAAAAGTCGTTTCTCTCTGTAACACTCAGCACCTACTATGTGATCGGACATACCGTAACTCGATGGATGCTGTCCGCACAAAGTAGGTTTGTTAAATTTAAATCCAAAACAGTGATGTTCCAGTGCCGAACGAATTCTTCTCTCTTATTTGCAATTAGAAAATCATAAGCGCTGGAAGCGATCTTCGGTTAGAGCTGCAGAACGTAAATTACAACTCTGAACACTGTTTTGCCTAACTAATATTGGTATCTCCTCTCTGTGCCTTTACGCCGGATGGTGTCTTTCCTTACCTCCTGTTTATAGGTACGGCAAACATGTGCTCATCCAATTCGAGGACTTTGCAAATCATAACGCTTTCCGCTTTTTAAAGAAGTATGCTGAGCTCTACAGTACCTTTAATGATGACATTCAGGTAGGCTTGTGTACGTCTATGGTACTCTGTGGCATTTATTTCTTGCTTTTGTTCGCCAGTGTGCCCTTGTTTGCTTTCCCCTATCTGCAATGTATAGCACTATAACAGAATGACCCTGCTCCTTTTGCAAAAGTCAGCTGATGGAGGAAAACGTTAACTTTGCTCCCTCTGAACGAAAGATTGTGTCAAATTTTATACGTTAGCTTCGTGTTTAACTGACTGCGACTGGTGAGATGCTAATCGCCCTCGTCGTGTTGCAAAGTTTGAGACCCTGTCCTCTTGACTAAACTCGGGATAAACCGCCCATTTAGAGATAAAACCGGTAATGAGGCATTTCGCTATTGTGCATGACCATAGGACGTCTACTTGCAGAGGAAGCGTCTTTCACTGAAGCCGTTTCAATTCATGTTTGACCCTTTAAGCAAAAACATATACCTTTTCTGTTCTGCGACTGATAGCTGAATAGATTACGCCACTCGAAGTCGAGTCCGTCAACAACACTGGACGAATACCTCATCGTTGAGAAGAAGATGACTCGATCGCTTGGACAATACCTTTATTCGCCTGATATTTCGATATCCGTCGCGAATTCGTCATCAGAGAGATAGTCAGAGAGCAATAGCAGCTCAATATATCCGAACCGCTCACTTTCTAGAGAAACAGGTCGCTCCTCTACCGTCTGTAATGTAATCATTGTAATATGCTAAGCGATGGAGTAGTTGCAAAAGAGGATGTATGACTACCGGCCAGCGTTTGCTCAAGCCTGTTCTCTCAGTTGCTGGGCGGTGCCGTTTGATCTTGGCCCAATTTCGACGTCGATATATTTGACATCGTTGGCCGGAATATCTATCATATGTTAATATACGATTATCAAGTACCAAGCCGAAACCAAACCAAAAGGAACGGTACTCGGGTTACCCTTTATATCAGCCGTGTATTGGAATGTAATCTTATTAAAGGATATGCAACTGACGATGAACTGGAAATGTTGCAGTGTCTTCTTATGGTTATTTAATCCAAAATCGTTACTCTCACCGTTGTATAAAGGCCTCCAAATCAACCTACCTTAATTGTTTGACTCAGTTCAACTTAATTTCTGCAAAAAAGGTCCTGTCTTCGAACCTTCTTACGTCGCTCGAACGTTAGCGAAAGGCAATGGATAAAGGACATTTACTTTTACTTCAGCAAGGACTTTGATTGCGCTTCCCATAAGCGCCTCATTTGAACTTTGTCAGCCTTAGGGATAACAGTAAAGCTCTGAATTGGATTCAAGATTTGTTAACAGGTCGTGGATACAGAATGCCTGCTGGTGACTGTCATTCAGTATGGGCGCCTGCTAAGTGTGGTCCCATAAGGGTCGGTTCTTGGGCCGCCCCTATTAATGATTTATGTAAATAACCCAGTACAGGAAATTACGTCGTATGTAGCGTTCTACATAGATGATCTTAAACTGTCGAGGGTGATAGAAGACGAAAGTGTATAAGAGAACATTGACCAGCTGCATACATGGCGCAGGAACTGGTGCATGAATTTCGATGCCAACAAGTGTGTGGCAGTGTTGTCAGCAAGACGCGGAACATATGCACTCTCACGACAATATCCCTTGGAAAGTCAATCAATCAATTGACCCATTAAGGGCCAACCAGAACTCTCCACACCCTATCCATAGGTTATTGAGATGATTATAAACACATTATTTCCTTAATTTCGAAATTTCGTTTTAATTTCGTTTACATTACTCTTTTCTATAAATCACAATTCACATAAGTTTACGTCCTCTCCGGCTTAATTAACTGAATGCATTGTTTATGTCTTGGATCAACGACGACGATGTATCATGTTGCCAACATACTATTGCACTTAGATCTCATACTCAGGCTAACGCTTATTTGTGTGGAGGGGAGACCGGTGGACTAAGGGTCAGGTTGCAATGGCGTCTGCGTAGTGTGGCGTCTGG